GGCAGTACGGGCTAACAAGGTCTGAAGAGCTACAGCGAACTGGTCCATACGATGGTCCAGTTCCTCAAACCGGTTATCAGGAACCGGCTCATGAGGCTTAGCACCTGCAGGGTCCATGGCCCTAGTGTAATGTCACGACAGTGACCCCTTCACGCAGATAGTAACCCAGAAAGAGACGTAGACCGCCTCCCGGGAGCAGCCAAGGAGACCGCCGTGCTGCGCGGGTCCGGAGGAGAAAGGTAAGGTATCGTCACAGCCTCAACCAATGCACACACATTACTGGCCTTACAGGTCACTTTGGTGCTTCTGAATGACTGTTTTTATTATAGTAAACTGATTTAATGCTGTGATATATTTAATATCCAACTGGGTAACTCCAAAAGTATGACCATAAAACAAGTACAGCATTGAATATGACAGTGTGCTGTTTTTGCCTGAAGACTGCTCTGAAACAATTATTCAAATATTTAAAAACATTTATTTAAAAAAAAAAACATTATCCAAATGCACTGCAAGGCATAATTTAGTTGACAAGCAACATTTACGTCAGAATGATTGAGTACAGGTAATTAAATATGGTAACATATTATCTTGTGACATCTTCTGACTCTTACAAACTGTAATAGTCAATTACACATTGACATATTCCACCCACGTTTATTCAAGAAATATCTTTAATTCAGTCAGTGAATCAGAGTTAGGATAAGAGTGACTAACACAATGGCACTGTAGGTAGAGCTTTTCTTCAAATAAAAGAGAAAACCTGTTTGATGAGAGGTCCTATAGTTTTCTCAACAGCTTCATTAATGCCAAGTACCTACGAAAAGCAAGACAAGCACATGTAGGTGTATCACTTTATATATCAGAGCTACAAAGTAAAAGGGAATTGTAAGAACACCAGGGCAACGTTACAACTACAAAAGACCAGATTGCTGAATGACTTATTTTATATTACAAGAGGGTTTAAGAATATAAACGTGAATGAGACTGATTACTCTTATTATAGTACTATACCTGGTTAAAAAGGGTAAATAGGCATTTCCATTGCCCCAAAAATGAAACACAGAATGATTCAATGGAAGATGCAGCCAACCATTGCTTAAATGCAACTGTTGTGCCCAAAACTATTTTGGCCCATTTTCAATTTTTGCTAGCAAATGTATAGTAGATTGGGAGAAAAACCTATTTAATTGATTGATAAAGATGACCAAAAGAGACCACCTACAGGCAGTCCTTCTGCTCTTCATGAGCTGTGGTTGTTATAATAACACCCTAATCCATTCTTCTGGCGCTGTGTTTAGAGTACAGGAAGAGGTTTACTGATATCCCTCAATTCAGATGCCAGCATGCTAGCACTGAAGTCAGAGTGTCAGTGCCATGAAGGAGGTTTGCCCTGCTTGGTAAAGAACAGAAGGAGAGAGGGCAAAATGGAGGTGGGTAACACCCATCTCTGTAATTAGTGGCAGGGGTGCAGAGTTTGAGGTAAGTGGTGGCAGGTTCCCTTTAAAGGATAGTTTACTTTAAAAAAATAATAATAATAATAATTAATGATGAATACTGATTTTTTTGTTTGTTTTTTTTATTTATTTAATTTTCTATCTGTCTGAGCAGACATGTTGGGTCAGACACAGCTGATATCAGACCAACTGCTGGTCAATCTAACTTGCCTACTGCTGTGATTGCACCGTGTGAAACTGCAGTAGCAGGCAAGTTAGATTGACCAGCAGTTGGTTAAATAACAGCAGTGTCTGACCCAACCTGGCTGCTCAACCAGATAAAAATAACAGATTTTTTTTCCACACAAAAAAAGCTATATTCATAATTTATTTAAAAAAAATCTCTTTATGTTTCATTAAAGTAATAAACTTCTTTTAAAGTGAAGAAAGAAAATGTGATGGCAGTTGTGCTTAGAGTTCAAAACCTGTGCACATAGATTTCATGGCTCATTTTCAAGATAAAATCAGGTAAGTGCAACAAAAGTGCAAAAGACAAGTGGAGGCAAGCCACTAAACGTATAGAAACAAAATCTGTATAACCACAATAGGTACACAGTATTAGGGCGCCACAGTCACATGTGTGATAGTATAATTACCCCTCAATATATTTCAGCATGTAAAAAGAAAAAAAAAGAAAAAGAGATCATAGTGCTGTATTTTATTAATAAGAAAAAATCAATACAAAAGGTCCAAAAACACTCACAAAAATAATGGCACAAGAAGACAAGCGTTATAGCCACAAATGGGTTTAGTCCCCACAGAGTAGACAGCTGCCAGTGTTAGCTGTGGACACCAATTGCCTTGGTTTCTTGAATAGTGAGAGATCATGGAGGCTGGCTGTGATCCTACTGAGCTGGTCTCTGTTGTAGGCATATCGGAGTTTCCAATCTGCTCAACGCATTTCGCCACTTCCGAGCTGGGTATCCTCCTATAGCCTGGTATTTAAATATGCTGATTCGCGCAGCTTTTAGATGAGTTCACATGTGCAGAATGTTGAACGTGATATCTAGCCTCATAACATTCGGATGTTCTTTCGCACATGCATGAACATCCAGCTTGCAATCAATCCGAACGGCCACTTTTACATCGTTCAGAAAGATATGTACATGTGCTTAATTCCAAATGTTGTGGCAGGAATGTTGGCCTCTCGGTGACAAGTAAGAGATTAAAAGGAGTGTCCATGACATGTGAGGCCCTTTTTAGAACCTAGAGAGGTAGGAGCAATGCTCTAGCTGTGAGTTGGGCCGATGGACGAATACCTCCACATGAGGATGGGTGTAGGCCTTGCATGACTGAATTACAAATATACAATAATTGGTTGCTATGTTGTGACAGCCTGGTATGGGTATGTGAACAAAGTAGAGTTTCTGCGATGCTGCTAGACACATCTCTTCCTAATCAACCTTATTGTTAGTGAGGGGAAATGACCGGTAATAATTCCCATGCTTTGGATTTACTAACAGAAGGTAGGTTCTGTGTCACTATGGCAAATGTGTTATGGACCCAGTTAACTATGAAATTGGCTGCCATCCAGTGTGGGCGGCTGTATTAGTCCAAAAATAAGGCGCATTTGTGGAGTGAACATTTCTTCCCTATTCTAGTGGTATAGAAAGTTTAGCGACATTAACAGGACTGCTCAAGCATGTGTCGAATGCAACAGCGCTATTGTTGACAGGTGAACCTGGGAGCAGGTTGAGTGGATGGTAAATGAATGAGCTCCCTTCTGTAAGGTGCGTTGTAAAGTTCAGAGGACCAAGGAGAGACTGGGGATCCATTTGGTAAAGAGGCATCGTGACCCAGAAAGGCTTTTCCCTTTCCCTGATATGCTAGACTCTGCGGGAAGGCTGAAGTGCCATGAAATCAAGTCTAATATATTTCCAGAAATTAAAATTGGTGTAGGGACCAAAAGTTGATCGAGACAGCGGAGTTGAAGACACATCTGCTTCAGAGTAAGGCATTCGTTTCCATAATCGTTACACTCATGTAGAGAATGTATTACTGAGGGACAGTACTTTTCAGGAGACCTTTCCAAAGGAAGTAAAGTAGTTCGGAATGGCATTGTGAGCCACAAACTACTTTCCTGCTGTGTCGGGGAATCCTTGCCTCCAGTAAGTCTTGAAGACTTAGTTGCTAAATCTTCGCTTCTTTCCTGGTCTCTGCCTGAGAGCTGCTTGTCGCGCCCAGTGGTCGCTCCTTAAGAGGGGAGTTATGTCACATCATGCCATGTTCTGCAGAGATGTCTGGCTTTGGTTTCTGGTATCCGGTACTCTTTTTACAATTCTTGTTTAGTTTTTCTTATTTTTTTGGTTTTCTATTCTATGTCTGGTTTTCTTTATGCTGGGTTTTTCTGGGTTCATTCCTGTAATCCGTCCCTGGAATTCCCAGTTTCTAGGTTTCCTTTAAATGTTTGTTTTGTGTTGCCACACCCATTTGTTTTCCATTTTCCTTTTGTTTCACTCTGGACCTGCAGCAGTGTTTCAAGTCTCTGCCCGTTCTTGCAGGTAAGTGCTATTGTGGTTTAGTATGGTTCTTTTAGAGAACATTAGGCAGTGTAGAACCTGCCGAATATGGGGTACATTGGCGTTTTGGCAGGCTTATGCAATGTATGATCATATACTGTAATTAAATCCCCATACTTTTCATATATAGTGCTTAGTTATGTCTCCTCTTGGCTTGCCTATCATATCTTGTCTTGTTTTAGTTTGTATTCCCAGTCCATGTACTGTCCTGTCCTGCCCCTGTTTAGTTAATGTTTCCTTATGTATTGTGTACATGTTCTGGGTTTAGTTTCCTATCCTTCTCTGGTTCTGGGTTCTTCTAGTTCTGTCTTGTTTGGTGACTATCCTAGCCTTGCCTTGCCTTGTTTCTGTCCTGGATACATGTCTGCTGCAGAGCCCTCCTATCCAGTTCCTGTGAGGTCTGCTTACTTCCTACCTTCAAGTTCCTGGGATCCGCTGTAGCTGCATCAGGGTTCTGGTATGTGGCCGCACAAACGCTGGCTCATCACCAGGCCCTGATAATCCACTTCCACACTGAAGACTCCACTTCTCATCAGGCACTCTGGGGTCCCGGTTTCCGTACCGCCACCCGTGACAACTAGTAGATTGGAGGTTAGGACAAATACCTGAACGAAGTGAAATAACGCCTGTGCAGAAACCTGTTATTAGAAACTCAACTAGAGGTGGGCAAGTGGGGGGTATTGAGGGAGACGCCTCTTATTGACAAAAGGCAAGTATGAATATGGAACAGCCAGATTGTACCATCTGTGTTCCCTAGCTTTGAACTACTGACAAGTCTCGTAGCTATGTCCTTTCAAAGGACAGGGGAACTTACTGTACATATAACACTAAACAAGGAAACGTGCTGGATAGAAACTGGCATTGTAACACTGAGGGGATGGAAGTAAGGAGCATGACGTAGGGTACTACATGGGAGGGTAAGACGTCCAAAGTCAGGAGATTCTAAATATCACTAGTGTCAATAGTTGTTCATAAGGATGAAAGGATGGGCGCCATCATGGCCTACATCCCTGTCATGCTGTCTGTGTTGCAGCATGGGTGCCGACACAAGGTAGTGGAGCCCAGAGCTAGAAACCGGAGTCTATACAGCACAGTTTTCGGAGCCAAAGAAGGGAATGCCTTTATGTCGGAGCTTGGCAGTAAAAGTGGAATGGTACAAGATCGCCAGGAACTGGGGCTGGAGTATCCTGGGTTACGGCTGGAGTGCATGGTCTAGCTGGGGTGGAGGGTTTGGCTGGGGAGCCTGGATTGAAATATCTTACTAGTTCTAAGGTGTGCAACATCTACATGTTGTCAGGATTACGGATTGATCCAGCATGTAGAATGGTATCACACCTAGGACTAAAAGGTAACGTCTTACTGGGCCTTAGAATGGCCGGACTTAACGTCAGGATACTTGCCGATGTCGGAGGGCACAGAGTGGGACTCAATGACAAGGGTGTCACGTATTCATCCACACATAAAAATGTGGTTAATGGCATTTACTGTCCTGACAGGAAAAGTTGTGCCAAGCAACATTACCGTCCTGACAGTAAACGTTGTGCCGAACAGCAATCATGCACATGGAAACCTGGTAATTACATTTGGGGTCAAAGGCTGGACATGGCCAGTCAAATCTACAGGAGGGCAGTTTAAACCCAATTCTCTTGCTCATCGCCCTGTCGTGGTTTCATCTTGATGGTAATCCAAGAGTGCGTTCCTGATCTTGATTTTCTGGTATTTGACTTTGGCTTCGTTTTGACTTCCCTGAATTCTGGTGTCCTTGACTTTTTGCTTCCCTACTTCTTCTACAGGTGGAGGTACTTCTTGTTTGGTCCCTACCCCTCCTCAGATTAGGACATATGCAAAGGGGAGAGAACAATCACGTATGAATATAAGACACACTAATATGAATAAATGGAATAGAAATACTAAACCTGATCTCCATAGGAATGAATGGAGGAGGGGTAGGACCAAACAAGAAGGACCCTCACCCGTAGAAGAAATAGGGAACATAATCAGAGGGAAAGGCCATCATGGAGGACCAAACACACGCCGATACGTCATAATGGTGGGTGGTAACCAGTAGTCAGAAGGAAGTGGCCTGTGTCCCTGGTAAAGGAAAAAGTAAAATCTCCCAGATCCAGTCTGACAACTATGAATGATAAATCTGAAACTACCCACAGATCCTTCCATAATAAAGATGAAGCCATTACACAAAATAGATTTCAGGTTCTTTCCACACCTCTAGCAGATGAGAATTTTTGGCACAGACAAGTGAGGGGATGACGCAAAGAGTCCCCAGTGCCCCGATTGTCTCCAGGAAAACGGAGACGCAGTGTAGAAGAAGGGGAGCTAGAGGAGGAACATTTTTACAGAAAAGAAAAGAGAGAAAGATATCCAAACAGAATGGAATCTTCAATCTTTCACAAAAAGAGTTAAGCAAGCCCCAAATTACTCTACTGGCCAAAGGTCTGAAGTTTGCTCCGACCAAGCCAATAGACAAATTTAGCGTATACTTAGATCTTAACCGATTTAAACATGAGCTTTGCTTTAAACATTTTTTTTTGAAACATCCAGTTACCTATAATCCTACAAATGATAATGAGTCAGATATTATCCATACAGACCTAAAAGAGAACTCCAGCTTCTTTCCTCGTCATTTGATTTCAGAAGAAATTAAGTCGTTTCGAAAAGATGGTAATGAGTGATACAAAATCAAGAAACCTAGGTCATGTAACTATGATTTGAATATCTATGAAAGACAGGCTCTGAGGGAATTACGAGAGGATGAGTCTTTGGTAATTAAACCAGCCGACAAGGGGGGGGGATCGTAATTTTAGATATTGACGACTATAATAAAGAGGCACAGAGATTGTTGAGTGATGAACAAACATATCGTATTTTGAAAACTGATCCCACTAAAGAGATTAAATTAAGTTATAATAATCTAATTGAGAAAGGCAAAACTTTAGATATTTTCATCAAAAGGAGTATAAGTTCCTAAATGTACAACATCCCAAAATTCACGTATTTTATTATGTTCCAAAAGTACATAAAAACAAGGATAGACCTCCCGGAAGACCAATAGTTTCCGGGATAGGGTCGGTCTCCAGCAAACTATCTCAATATATCGATAGATGTTTACAGCCCATTGTTTGCACATGCCCCAGCTACCTCAAGGATACCATTAATATATGACAAATAATTAGAGATGTAGAATAGAAAGAAAATTAATACCTTGTAACTGCAGACGTTAATTCTCAGTATACAATAATTTCTCATACGAGAGGATGTAATGCAACAAAGCACTTTCTAGAACTTTCCAAAAGATTCCCACAAACACAAATAGATTTTATTATAGAAGGGATAAATTGAATTTAAACTAATAATAATTTTTGGTATAGGGAGCAATTTTTTCTACACAGCGATGGGCACGAGGTTTGCGCCCAGCTATGCAAATTTATTTATGTCACATTGGGAAGAAGAGTTTATTTATAATGATCATAGATTGGACGCGAACCTCGTGACCTATCGCCGCTACATCGATGATATATTTTTTATCTGGGATGGAGATAAGGCATCATTGACACTGTTTTTAAGTTACCTCAATGCAAATGAATGGGGTATTAAACTTACAAGCAATTTTAACAAGAGTGCTGTGGAATTTTTAGATCTTAGTATTTATGTGGAACAAAATGTGTTAGAGACTTGTACCCATTTCAAGAAGGTTGATGTTAACAGTTACATAGGGGAGAATAGCTGTCATTTCTCCCCATGGCTGTTAAATGCCCCTAAGGTGCAACTATTTAGGATTAAAATGAATTGCACAGATCTACATAAATTTCAGGAACAGTCGGAGAAAATAATTAACAATTTTAAAGAAAAAGGATACAAAGATGGACTTTTAAAGAAAGCCCTTTCTGAAGTAGAGAATGAGGACAGGATGAAATTAATAGAATATAAAAACATCAAGGATAATACAGAACCACATAATTTAAAATTCATTTGTGATTTTAACCATAACAGTGGAGGTTTAAAGAAAATTATCCGAAAATACTGGCCAATATTAAAGAATTACTCAGTTTTGAATTCGATACTCCCGGATACACCTGATATAGTGTACAGAGGTGTACCAAACCTTAAAAGCACCTTAGTCAAAAACCATATGTCCTCAAGAAAATTGACAAAACTATTTTTTAAAGAGAAGCCCGGTTTTTATGGATGCGGCATGTGTGGAGCATGCAAAGGTTCTAAAAATGGTAAAAAAGTAGTAATGGAGTTTTGCCATCCACAAGAGAAGAACAAAAATTTTAAAATTAAGCAGGTCATCACTTGTCACTCAACTAAAGTAATCTACATGATTACGTGCCCTTGCGGGCTAGCATATGTAGGGAGGACCACTAGAACTCTAAACACTAGAATCCAGGAGCACATTAGGAACATTAAAAATGGGTTTCTAAAACACAGCGTATCTTTGCACTTTAAGAGTCATCATAACAGTAACCCATATTTGATGGAATTTATGGGAATCCAAGAGGTAATTGGAAATTGGAGAGGTGGAGATCCCATAAAACTAATTGGACAAACAGAGATGAGATGGATTTTTAACTTGAACACTATGCAACTCTGTGGTCTTAATGATGATTTTGAAATATGCCACTTTTTATAATGATTTTTAAAGTTTTTTTAGAATTAATTTTAAACATGTTTAATATTTATTATTTGTATACGTTATTTATTTTTTATTAGAAGTTAGTTTTATAACCCACTTTCTAAGATTTATGACATTTTATAAACAGTAAAAGCTGTTAATTTTGTGGTGGTGAAATCATCATTAAAATATTCACACTGATTTTGGATTGTTTTAGGTGGGGATGTTAAATGTAGTCCTTTAATGTATTTATTGTTTAAAATGGATGGGTACACTAATTGTTTGTATTCTGTTGCTTGTGCCTTTAAAAGGCTCAAAAACGAGCACATTGCCTCAGAACTAGAAGAAGAATTTGAGTGTCACTATGGACGTGTAATTGCCAGTACCTTGCCCTTAAGCGAAATGGCGGAATTACCTTCTATGGATTAAGGAACTTGGTAGCGAATTTGTACCACGGGAAATGACGTTGGCTAAACCCTGCGTGACCTGGACGGGACGCTACAAGCTAGTGGGGCGAATACTAGCCTCTCAAATACCCGGAAGTGACGTCACGCGCACGTTTATATGTATGTGCGTGATGACGTCACTAATAAGGGATAAGGCAGTTCAGCTGGAAATTTACACCCTCCCCCGCAGGAACGCCCGTGATTGATTGGAACACGATCCCTTGCCACCAATCCAGACAAGAGGCGGGGATTATAATTGGAATGGAGCAGGATGAATGTTACCAATTGAGAAAGCTGAAAGAAATCGGCGAAACGCGTTTTGGACAATCACCAGTATATTGTATGTATTTTATTGATTTTTTTATATGTTTATGTAATAAATTTGTTTTTATTGGATTGCATACATCTGGTATACATTTTATCCTGCTGAAAGAGGGAAGGAGTCATCCCTAAAAAGGACTCATATGCCCATATACTCCGAGCCAGGTCATGGGCTCTCACCAAGGTGAGAAGCAACCTTCACCTTTACTTGTAAATTGTATATTGTTACCAGAAGGATTTCAACACCAGGGCGAGTTTTCCCTGTTTTGTTCCTTTTACACCCCTAAGGAATTTTGGGGAGTAAGTGACTATTATTTAGCGCTACACACTTTCACTGTTGCATACTGGTTGTGTAAATAGTGTGTTTATTTGATTGAATCACAGTGACTGAATAGTTCCTATTTCTGTGTGAGAGCTGCTGTATTAAGAGCACCTGTTGGAGTTTGTTTTAAGCGCCTGTTAACACAGAGTACTTTGTAAATTTGATAATCATACAGAGACATAACGACAGAGAGACACAGGCAGAGACATATATAGACACACAGGCAGTGACATACAGACATGCAGAAACAGTCACACGGAGACATACTGACACAGTCACACGGAGATATACAGGGATACAGAGACATGCAGGCATACAGAGGCATACAGACACATACATACAGGCATACAGAAACATACATACAAAGACGTAAAGGCATGCAGACATATACATACATAAATACACATACATACATACACATACAGACATACAGAGACATACATACATGCGTACAGAGACATACATACATGCACACACACAGAGACATAAATACA